AATCTTACTTGCAGCTGTGGATTTGAATGTAGCAAAAATATCCACTCCATTTGGTTGTATGCAAGGTGGGGGAGGTTATGTGACAGTCCGTTATTGGTATTTTTCTCATGAAATCCAGCAAAAATGTTTTCAAGAGTTGGACCTAGTGGGGATCCATGGGAACACCATCATTTTGTGCGTGCATGGTGTTGTCAAACTGATCTCAATTGTGCGAGTTGCTGAGTTCATCGGTTCCTTGAATACTGATTTACAGGTAAAGTTGGTAGGTCTGGATCACCATGACATAGAGAGGATCAGCCAGTACTTGTGTCGTATGTGATAAATAATCCATCATTCAAATAACTTGAAAATGCCTCATAAACGTCTACATAACTTGCCTCACTGAGTGGGTTATTTTCTTCGTTTCCTGTTTATAGCAAAGAAAGTGCACATTGTGGCATTAAACCCCTCAGTTCTTTGGTCACTGTTAAAAATAGTCCATCATTCATCACCATTGCTGCTCGTTCATTAACTGTGATAATTCTCAGATATGATTGATGCTGCTGATGCAGTCCTTGGAACATTTAACGTTGCCTCGATTTTAACAAGCCCTTCATCATCTCAATCTCTCCCTCCAATATCTAAGCACTGTCTTGTTTATCATAATCTAAAGATACTTAAAGCATGAACCCAGCAACTTTTTAACACAGAGGTTCAATTGCTGCACAGAAATCTCCACTAGACCCTGACTATATATTGATTGATGAAGCATGGGAAGATATATCCACATACATTACTCATATGTTATATTAACATTTAGCTTCCTTGAATCTCCAGACTAGCTGGTTCATTTTTCATTATTGTACTCTAAAAATGACTTTTAATTGACAGTGCCACTTTCTGTACTGTCTCTTTGTTAATTTCAGGCCAGGTTCACATTTTCAAAGACCACATAGACAGTCAGTATTTTATATGCTGCAAGATGATCTTGTAACAGAATTATCAGTATATGAAAGAATGCAATGAAACTTTATCGACTTTAGGTAACAAAAAGAAACTATGAGAATAAAATCACAAACAAAATTAAAGCCAGCAAAAAGTTCACGTTTCAGTAAAACCTCACCAAATTGTTTCAGAAGTGTGTGGTTTTGAAATAAAAAGTATCCTTTTGCCCTCATTCCATCATATGGGCTTTTAAAAATAAAGACTAAAGTATAGACAATGTTCTTTTGAATTCCTTTTTGCTATTCAGGAATTGTTGCACTGCATAATCCCTTTAAAATCACTGCAAGGTCACATAAGTGCTCTTCTGAAAGAGATGATAGCTTGTTCATGACATGTTTGTACCCTGCTTTGGATATTCTGCTCACTGATGCAACTTAGAAGGTGCATTCTGATGGGAAATATTTCCTCTATGCATGTGGTGCTGCGAAATCATAGGGTAGGGAGCTACACAGTGCACAAAATAATCCTTTGGCTCATTTAGAACAACAACAAATAGAAATTCCTACAAGAGCCAGTCAGTATATCAAGTTGAGATGTTGTAATATCTGGTAAATTTTCTCAAACTCTCTGGCTTTGCATTGAGATTCCACCTGAAAATGCTTGTCTTTCTTTTAACCAATAGTTAAGTTCTTAAATTTTCATTTTTGCTTGTTTTATACCCTAACACAGTAAGATTAATCTGCTTAATATTGTGAACTTAGATATAGGCTTAAGTAAAGCAAAGTTTGAACAATTTATTTTCAAACATGCAAATCTTCCAGCGATCTAAATCATGATGTTCAAGATTTCTTTAGATAGACTTACTCAAGTAATGGAACAGTTATACTTCACAGCCAACTCATCTTTATGTATGAGCTTCTCATACTGTTAAATTGCAGCATCAGTTAGGCTGACAGAAAGGGCTTCTGTCTCTTTATCCTTTGTACTGTGCTGTGTGAGAGTGTTACCATTAGCATGTGCTGTGCAGCAGGTCTAGTTATCAGACAGACTGTGTAAAATGATACTTTTTGTCAGACTGACCTTTCTCCAGTACACAGAAGCATATAAAACCTCGGAGGCCTCCTTTGCATTTTATCAAGTTGTTGACTTGTTATTGATGTTTCATTCAACACCTTGTGTAAAATAGATTAGAACCAGGTTTTTGGATCACTTTTACTAATGCCTTCACTTGTCCCTTTATTAAGATCATGGCTGTCTCCAGCACTGTTTTTAATATTTATTAAGGCCATGTGAAGTTTACTCAAAGTTGCCATCCAACAGGCTCCGAGTTATGATTTGGATTAAACATTGAAATAAATCCAATCAGAAAAATGCCCATTTTGTGGTACAAGTTCTCAGATATGAATACATGTCCTGTGGAGTTAAGTGTATGAGAAATGGAAAATATTTCTGCATGTGTTCACCATTCAGAAACACAATTAATGCTTAATCAATTCATAGCTATATTGCTCTGTTCATTGTGATCTGTAAAATATGTACAGTTTTGGTATGTTGTTTGGAATATCACTCAGTTGATCTACTTAAACATGACGTAAATTCCAGGTACCATAATACAAATCACAGTTGAAAGCCAATGCATCAGACTGTGTAACCAAGTATTTTCAATCAGTATATTCACTGTGTAGTGTAATTTATTATTTTAGAGCAGTAAGTTACTACTAATATAAATATATATTCCAGCATTTTGCACTATCCAGAAACAATGAAAATACTGTGTAGTGTACTCTACAGCTCTCCCATGTAATATACCATGTCTAGATCAATCAGATGCCAGGCTATATATCCTACATTTCCAAATTAATGTTTTCATTGAGTCCTATAGCTTATTGTTCAAAAAAATGAAGTTACGATGCAGCACATTGTATAGATTTAGGTCCACACAGTATGCTTACATTGTAATATTATTCAGACTCCTAAAATGATAGGTCAATGTACAGTGTCCTAAACCAATATGACACCCCAGCATGGCGTACATTTCTGTACAGTTTGACACACTGTTCTAGACCAGTGAGGTACAATGTAGCATTCAATCTTCAAGCAGTTCCAAGTTATCCTATCGCTGTAAGTGTAAAACCATATATTTTGAAATACTTTCATTTTATTTGTAATGTTTTATATTTCTAACTCTAAATTTCTTGTACAATTGAAAGACTTCTTAGAACTTCATATAATTGGGCAAGTGTCATTTTGACCACACAGTACCTCCCAATAAAACAAAGTCACATCAGTTCAGTTGGTAATTATTAGGAATGAACATGCATTTCAATAAATGAAGAAGGCATGTTCTTGTGCTTGTAAGTCTCTATTTTGCCCAGTGTAGGCTATGGCACTGGGTAAGATGAAAGCAGGAGAAAGGTGCTTCCCTACAGTTGATAAGGGAAATTGTTGATGACTCACTTAGGTCTTAGTGGCTGGCTTAAAAGCACACTGTTGAAGGTTTGAAATTGAAGAAGTAAAGTGTGTGCATAGAAGAGGAGAATTCACTTGTTGAAATAAATCTGTTTGATATGCACTTCAGAAAGAATGCCATTTGATTGTATGGAGGCAACGAAGCAGAATAAGCTGAACTGGAACAGGTCATTTAGGAGGCAAGATGGTCAGTATCCATTCAATACTGATGAACAGATTTTATGTGTCTTTCATAAGGGAATGAAAGAAGTTTTTGTGAACTGAGTACAAGGGAATGAAGTTAAACTGGAATTATTAACTTTTGGAGATAATATAATTAAAGAGGGGCTATTTTCTTTTGTTTCCTATTAACAGAAAAAAATAGTGCAATTGAATAAAAAGAAGTCATTTGCTCTATGACATACAGGAAGAAATATTTAAGGTTACAGATACTTTGTGCAATGGTGAGTTAGAGTTCTGTTCTGTCTGCATGGATCTAGGTTACTGTAGTTCAGGTAGAAGGGATCAGAGTCTTCTCTCAATGCAATTGTTAAGGATTTCAAGTGGACTATTAAGATAATTTCTACTCAATTCCTCAATGGATAAGCATCAACAACGTAACACCACAGCATAACATCTTTTCATAACTTGGCATAATTGACTACTCTGACCATTGGAGATGATAATTGCTACTTTACCAAATTGGAAACTATCAGTCTACATCAGTAATATGAATAAATGGATATTAAAAATGACTGGAAAAATGTTAATGGCTCCATTGTCACCAATATGAAGTGATGTTTTGTGATTTCATTGAGTTTGAACCCAAATAGTTTACTTCTATTTCCACAATTTCAAGTTGTCTTTAATCTTCTGAATGTTTTTCATTGAAGTCTCTATAAGCAGATTGTGTTAAGCAGTGCTTCCTGTAGGAGAGTGTAAAACAGCTGGAAAGCCAGCCTGTCTTCAGATTTGATCAAAGGTGACTTTGTCACGGATGGACGTGTGAATTTACACCACAGATATTTCTGAAGGAGGACATCAATTGGTCTATATTTGACCCCACCTCTTAGTTACAGAACAGATAAATTCATTCTCAATTGGAAATAAACTTTTAGTCCTGCACCACACTTTTTCGGCCACTCCATTGCTAGTTATAAATCAGATCACAGTTTATTCCAGGTGTTCTTCAAAGCCGGTGTCTTATGAATGAGACAGTTTGCTATTTTGTTTCTCAAAAATAGTGTTAGGAGCAGGCAATGATCTGCCCTTATATAATGCATCACTATGATAAAAAAAGTCACAAAATTTTCAGCTCTCTGGGCTGCTATTTTACTGCTCAAAATGTAAGCAGATATGACTTTTAATATTGTTTCATACTGATAAAGGGAACATTGACAGGTTTTCCACATACTGAAATATTACAATCTGTTATGGTATCTCATTTGAGTTTGAAATAGCAGGGTATAAGGAGTCAAACACAAGTTAGGTTCCTTGAGGGTAAAAAAAGTGGATGAATAACTAGTAAAGGCTGGATGCTGATCCAGCAGCACTTAACGCTGCCAAGATTGACACAGTGACTGTCACACAAAAAAAATCTAACAGATTTTTCTGTTCTTTCTATGCAGGAACGGGTGCCCTTTGAGAATCTTGCACAACAGCTGACAGGAAAAACAGGGGAGGATGTGAAGGTTGGTCCAGGGGTCATTGACCTCACGAGACCAGAAGACGCAGAAGGTGAGTGGGTAATCCTAAGGTCTAACAAAAGCTTACATTGTCAATGAGTAGTCAACTCAAGTAGGTTAACTGTTGGTGCTTCTACATTGGCTTCACAGTTTCTCTTTTCTCATCCTTATTTCCCATGTTTCGCCTTGAGCATAACCAGAAACCTACACATTGTAATTCCAATTAACACAATGATTTGTGCTGCCATTACTGCTTAATTATAAGCATTTTGGAAAGATCACAATCTTATGGAGAGTAATTTGGAGTCAATTCACATTTAAAAATGCGCATTGAATTTACATGATTCTATTTGAGGTATTTGTACATGTGCCCAGATGAATTCATACATGGGCCATCTAATCTCAGATCAAAGCAACTTAAATAAAACCTTAATCTCAAATCATCAAGGCACACCTGAACCCTCAAAGCAGTTCAGAGATTTGGGGGAGCAAACAGAGAGCAGGTAAAAGACTCCTATCACTTTTTATTTTAACACTGAGTGTAAACCTGGTTAATTTTGGCCTCACAACTGGCTACATCCTCCCAATCCCTCAAATATCATGCTCAGGGCACAACTAACGCAGCTTCTCTGCAGTCTAAATAAGCAATTTTCATTTTGGTGATGTATGTGCTGGTGGAGATCAATGTGCCTTGCACCAAATGGAGATCATGTTTTAAGGATTTGTCAGAGAGAACTAGTGGTCTGGCAGGCAAGACAACTGTTTAATTCTCTGAGGACCTTATGGGATTAATGTGTTCCATAGTTTTCCAGTGGATAAATCATTGTAAATTCCCTGTAGGCTCTGAAACTGTTTCAAAATGGGTGGAGTGAAGAGGACAGTGTCAGCCCAAGAATGAAATGGCAACAGGTTCCACATTTTTCTCAAATCTTCAACAATGATGCAGAAATTCTTCCCAAAAAATTGCCAATAATGCACAAATTATGCTTATAATCTTATTAGCATATTTACTAAATTTGAATAAATCTCTCAAGGTGTTGTCAAGTATTCAGCTAGTTTTGTAGAATATTTGGATCCAATGCATAAATGTAATTAAAAAAAAAATATCGGCCCTGATGCTAATGGGGCTGTTATTTTACAAATAACTATTTTAGTAAAAGATTAGAGTCAGATCAGGAACATACTCAGCAGAAACAAGCGACTGCTTCATCAGTAAATTATATTAGGATCTGATGCTGCCTGGCCTGCTATGTTCCTCCAGCTCCATATTGTGTTGTCTTAGGATCTGGTGATGATGTTTTGATCCCAAGCAATTCTGACCATGAGGAGCAGCTCCTATCGAGCTATTGCAAGATAGCTGTATACTTTACCATCCCCTTGCCCAATGCTAACTGCAGTAGTAGAAAGTCAACTGGGCTTCACAGCCTCAGCAACAGTCAAAAGCTGCAGTTTGCAGCATATTCTCAAAAGCTTGATCTCCCAGAAGTTGCTGGCCAGAAGCATTTCAATGGTCCTGATGAGAGCAGCAGAAATATTCCAGCAACTATTGCTGAAGCCATAAAGAGGGGGGACTAGGAGAAGGTGCAGAGCTGGATGAACACAGCAGGCCAAGCAGCATGAAGGGTCTAGGCCCGAAACGTCAGCCTTTCTGCTCCTATGATGCTGCTTGGCCTGCTGTGTTCATCCAGCTCTGCACCTTGTTGTCTCGGATTCTCCAGCATCTGCAGTTCCTACTATCTCTGATTAGGAGAAGGGTTTGATTTAGGAAAATGTCTTTAAATAAGTTCACTGGAAAGCCAAAAAATTTCCAGCAGTCGGTGTTCCAGCTGCAAAAACACCAAGAGGTCACATAGTCCTCCGTGGTCTTAATCTTCGCTCCGGTGCTGTACGGAAAGGAAGACGGACTTCTGTTTATTGCACAGAGAGCAGAGAAGAGGCAAGCATATACCTCCCTATCCTATCATGGGCAACAAACCTTAACAAGTATATATTGCATTTCTTGGGGAGGGAGGGAACCCAAATGGACAAAAGAAAATGCTAACAAAACACACTCTGAATGTATTGAAGTAGAAACCATTTAATCAGGAAAGCTGCTTCTTTCTAATTAACTGATCGTAGCTCCAAACAGAAGTCACAGCTGACTAGCATTTCTGTCAGCTGCCATGCCAGTCTGTTTTGTGTTGTGTTAGAACGGCTGAGTCTCACAGCTGACTACTAAGCCAACAAGGGGAGATGGAGTTTGCTGATTTGCCCAAACTGAGAAGTCAGCTGTAAGGCATGACTGTTCAACCTGAGCACCGAATTGCATTTCGAAGCCTTCTATCATAGAATCCCTACAGTGTGGAAACAGGCCCTTCGGCCCAACAAGTCCACACCGACCCCAGAACATCCCACCCAGACCCAGCCCCCTATAACCCACCTAATCTACACATCCCTGAACACTACGGGCGATTTAGCATGGCCAATCCACCCAGCCTGCACATCTTTGGACTGTGGGAGGAAACTGCAGCACCCAGAGGAAACCCACGCAGACACGGGGAGAATGTGCAAACTCCACACAGACAGTCGCCTGAGGGTGGAATCAAACCCGTGTCCCTGGCACTGTGAGGCAGCAGTGCTAACCACTGAGCCACTGTGCCACCTTGATCTCCTCATAATGCACTTCTGTGCCATGATCTTCAAATAAATACTGGTTATCACTGCTGCCTCACAGTGCCAGGAATCCGGATTTGACTCCAGCCTCGGGTGACGGTGTGGAGTTTGCCTGTTCTCCCTGCATCTGCGTGGGTTTCCTCTGAGTCCTCCAGTTTCCCCTCTCAGTCCAAAGATGTGCGGGTTAGGTGGATTGGCCTTGCTAAATTATGACATTGTATCCAGGGATGGGCAGGTTAGATGAATTAGTCATGGGAAAATGCAGGGTTACAGGGATAAAGGAGGGTGGGTGGGGAGGTGGTGTGTTGTTGCTTGGTCTGGGTGGGATGTTCTTTGGAGGTTTGGTGCAAACTCAACGGGCCAAAGGGCCTCTTTCCACACTGTAGGGATTCTATGAAATGTAACTATTTTTTTAACAACGTCTTCAAACATGCTGCAACACAACTCCGGGGGAGGTAGGACTTGAACCCAGACCTTCTGGCTCTGAATTGGGGTCACCGTGCCACAAGGCCCTTATTCTGAATAGATGTACGTTTGGACTCCTAACTAAGATCATTTGAAGGTTCTCACATCAGTACATTGGCTGAAATTAGCCTCTGGCCTAGTGTGGCACATGAGCAATACACAGAAAATTACACCTGTGCAGTTGTTTTAAAATCACAAATTGTGACTTCACTTTTCAGATCAGTGAATGAGAAACCACATTGGTGGCCCATGTGAGCCTCCTGAGTGTTCAGCCCATCTGAGATGGGAGAGGATTCTCCCTCTGGTGGCTGCATTTATAATTGTGGGTTGAACATCTACTGCATCCAGGGGTACTGGCATGAACCATCTCTTTAGGTGTGTATCCGTGTCAACTGTACATCAGCGATGTAATCTCTTTAAATCAGGAAAATTGGTTCAGCTCAGAGACTTTAACACAAAAATCAAGGATAATGCTCCAGTACAGTAAAGAGGGAACATTGTACTGTCAGAGGTGTTGATATTTATTTAAGTAAAGTCTATCCTCCCAGATGGACATGAATGACCCAATGCCATGCTTTCATAGAAGGGGTATCTACTGTGCCCTGGTTGATATTTGTGACTATCAGATTTCGATATTACAACAATAATGACAAATCAATAAAAGTACTATGTTGTAAAGCGCCTTGGGGCATCTTGAGATCATGAAAGTTGCTTTATAAATGATCTCCACAGAGAGGTTTCTATGTTATATACTTTATAACAGTGATCCCCCCAAGCTGGGCTGGCATTGTTGCAAAATAAAGTCAGCATCTGTCTGCATCTGTACGTGTCCTCAACTATTTCTGCCCATCTGTTCCTTCTTGTGTGTTTATGATGCCTTGCTGTACATGTTTGCATTTCACTCTTTGTGTATTCTCACTTTTTGTGCATGTTTGCATCTCTCTATCTTGTTTGTTTGACTCCCTTTCCTTGTTTGTGTTTCTCTCTCCTTAAATTTGTTTTTCACACCTCACATCTCTTTCTGCCTTGTGCCTGTTTCTGTCTGATCCCTGTCTTTGAGTGTCTCTCTCTCTCTCTCTTTCTCTCTCACAGGGAGTGATGGTATGAACTGGGTGATGTCAGCTTAACCACCTGCTAAATCCTTTTCCTGAAATTCATTTCCATGGACTTCGCCATTGCATGTTTTATGCTGTTGACCGAAGTGAAAATGATTTCCAGTATGTGAATTTGGCATGGGTTTTTTTGATTAATTTTACAGAAATATCTTAACAATCTTCCCAGAGCATATGATTAAACAATAGATTTTTGATTTTCAAAAGCCTTTTGCAAATTTGTCAAATTGCTACTCCTGAATTCATTGGATCAGCAACTGAGTAAAATTACCACATATCTGGTTAAACAGAGGCAACTTTAGAGCAAATTCCAACTATAACATAACAGATTTAATGTCCTGCAACATTTAGGTGTAAACTGTGGGTAGCTCCTGCATAACAACGCAACGTCTACTTTTGTGCTTCTCATCTATAACTGCAAAGAGAAACAAATCCACTGCGCCAATATTGGTCATACATAAATATTTGTAATAGTTACCATGGTAGTTTAGAAAGAAAAGGCAAGAAACAGTAAATGTTGAAAGTTACACCAGGAACAAAGATAAATATTTCTGGACAAGAATTTAAACTTTAGATAGCAAATAGGTGAAACAGTGGAACAGTTATCATCCGGAGTGACTGTGGTCAAAAGTAAAGACTAAGATTTTCCTTTCCGTTCAGTCAACTGTGCGTTCCATTTGTCTACTCACTCCCCAATCTCTTGGTCTTTTTAAAATGCTCAGATGTAAAACATTAGCAGATACCACAAAGGTTTCAGTGAAGCCTTTTGTTCTCTCACATAGCAGGGTTTGCAGCTTCCATGCAGCCTGCGTCGTGTGTTTGT